ATATAAGAATTAGCAGATAGAATTAAACAGAAATACATAAGCATAGTATAAAAGTGTAACATACCAAGCAAGATGATAAAACTGTTCCCCTACAGTCAGGAGCTACCATAAGGCGACAGCAGAGTGACCCCAAAATGGCTTAGATAACACCATTCCTAATCCCAAGGCCTGTGTCCACGCTCCAAGACTCAAGGGACAATGCCAGGGTTTTTAGCAAAGTCCAGCACTGCAATCCCATGACTCAGTTTTGGAGTCGGGCTGTGAGAGTGACCTTGACTAGATGTTGCACCTGATCATCATGTGAATCAAGAGCCTGGGAACTGAGTAGATAAGCTAGTGCTGAACCTAAACAATCGTGAGGGTTTCTCTCCCCCTCCCCCACTTCTAAATAAAAGTGAAAAACAAGTCATATTTTGATTTCCCTTCACACATTAAGAAAGTTCACTCTGAGTCATAATCATGTTAGCTGGCTTGTTTTTTACTTTTATTTAGAAGTTTTCGTGATTCCATAACTGTGTTATCTAAGCCATTTTGGGGTCTCTCCACTGTCGCCTTGTGGTAGCTCCTGACAGTAACGGAAGAGTTTTATCAACTTGCTTGGTATGTTACACTTTTATACTATGTTTACATATTTCTGTTTAATTCTATCTGCTAATTCTTATATTCCTGTTTAAGTCTGTTTGGTAGAGTCAACAATAAAGCTTAAAATCTCCTCATCTGCTGGTATGTTCATTGTCTCTGGATCTAAAAGAACTAAAAAAACCAGTTGCCTGGGCATCTGATCACTGCCTTGACAACTGGCAAAACACTTTCCAGCAGCTTCAGCCAACATGGCCTATAACAGTGTTTCTCAATCCCAGCAACTTTAAGATGTGTGGACTTCAACTCCCAGAATTCCATAGCTAGCATGAAAAATACTGCCCTATAACAAGTAATTCAGCAACATCTTAACGGTTATAAGTTCGCAGCCCTGCTCTAATTGTTCTTTTAATTGTTGGCCCTTCAGTCCATGCCATGGAGAATTAGGAAGGGTGGAATTTATGAAATGTCTGTTTTTTAAAAGAACTTCTTTCAATTTATTTTCTTCAATGCATTTTGATATGGTTATTCCATACAAGAATCAGATAATTCCATACATGCAGTTGGATTGAACATGCATGAAAAATAAGCAATAACCACATTTATAGATTCAAATGTGCAATCAATAATTTGAAGCAGCCCCTAAGAACCAATAAAGATTGGCATAATTGATAAAAACATACTCTTCAAGCACAAAAGAGATTACGGGCCAACTAGGAGCACTATCCTTTCACAATCTGGTATTTTGTAACCATTGGCTTATTTAAGAATAGATGATGCTAGGCAGCCCAAATGTAACTGGAATGGGGGTATAGGAAAGGGATTCTACTGCATGATCTTTTGCTATAGCTGCTATTCCAGTTGGAGTCAAAGGTTCTCCACATCTACTAGTTGTCATGCCAGGAAAGCTCCCTGGTGCGATGCGGAATAAGTGGGTGGGGAGCCTGATTTTCATTAGGAATGTAGCAGGAACAAATGGTTGACCCCGCTGGTTCTACACCATGATCCCAATTTGGCTCAACGCTCCCCTTTCCCAGTTGACTCTTTACATGAGCAGTTCAACCTTGAGCTACACGTATTCTCTTCTATTGGAAAGAAAAAGTGACAGAAGCATCTGTCCAAGCCCAGGGCTTTGATTAGCTCTCTCTCTCAAAAAAAGGTATACATTAATCCATATTTACAGTGACGAAGGCACCGTATCTTTAACATCTACAAGGTAGAAAGATACAGCACAATCCTCACCCTGCTGGGAAAAGCTGTGTCTGTTGCATTTGGCTGCTTAAAATGAGTGAGAGTTTTGTCCAGTTCACTCTTTGCCCAACATTCACACATTTCTTCATACATGGGACAGTAATGATTTCAAAGTAAAACAATATAAAATTATAAAGTCACCTATCAAAAACTGCTGTTTGTGACCAACTACATGATAAAAATCAGCATGTGGTTTTCTTCTTCCCCTTGTACACTTTCTAAATTTCAGCCATGTATTCCTTTTTTTCCAAGAGTAATGATTTACAAGTAAGAATTTTAGGTCATTAATCAGGCAAGCAAAGGGAATACTTGTTGAGAATGCTGGTCAACCATATGGTTAATTTTGGGGCGGGGGGGGGAGTCTTTTAAAGCAGAGTTTGATCATTTGTTCTGAGGAATTTTGTAGCCCAAAAAACAGATCTTAATGCAAATCACTTATTTTCTAGGCTGCAAGATAAGTTCAGCTGATTTGTTTAAGTTTTAGCCTTCAACCAGAAAAGAACACATATTAATGGGTTTTTAAAACCTTAAAATAGTATAAACTAAGTTTGAACTTCCAATCATTTTTTTACTGTAATGAGACGAGTTAATGTGTCTTCTCCGGTATTTTCACAGTAAATGAGACAAACCTTTCAACCTGTTTTTTTTGTTTTTGTTTTTGTTTTTTTGCAGCTGTAAAACACACAGTTGATTTCCTACAACTTTCTCTTGGATCTCTACAACAGAAGCATTTAAACATGACAGGGAAAAGAGAGAAAATCTAGAAATCATAACAAATCTTTCAGAATTGGCAAACGTAAGACATTTTCTTTGTAGTTGCAAATACTGGCTTTGCTCTATCCTTGTAATTCTATAATGAAAGCTTTGTACAACTTGAATTGGAAATTAGACTGCATACCACAGATTCAGTGTTATTGCCAGAAATGCTAAAATTGGAATCTTTTTCAATGGGATTTAGTTTCCTGTATATTCTAATGTCTCCAAGCAAGCTTGATGTGCTTATAATATACTAATTGCCATTATAATGGTCAGCTAAATATTTTGCATGACAGTTCATTTGTTTCTGTTAGGAAAACAGGTGGACCTTAAAATCAATCATGTAAAGGAAAGGAAATTTAAAATAACACAGGCTAACCATCTCCATTCCATTGTTTAGTTAACTATTTACAAAGTTTTAAAAGTAAGTGGTTTACAAGTAGCAACAGTTAGACAATGGCATTCAACCCAAAGCACATGATAAGGTGATGGGAAGTGAACAGTGAAAAAAAACTACTAATTCTTAATCTTACAGAAAGATCACTGGAAGCTGCTCATCTAATTTTGAGGCTGAATTATATTCAGGAGAAGAAATGGAATAGTTTTACCTTCTCCTTCCTAGAGTACTTCCTGTAGCACTTGGAGGAGCTGAATGTCCTTATGATAATAACTTTCAGATATTTTAAATAAATAAATGCTAAAAGTACAATATTCAGGACACATTTTCAAGCAGTTTCTCAAAAAAGGAATGCACAGTGCATCAGATGGATCTTTGGCCTGATTCAACACTACTTTTCATGTATGATCTGATCTGATAACATGACATTGAACTGCCATTTGCTTTTCTTGAGTTGAGATAACAATTCATAATATTCTTCCCATATGCGTGCAGGAGTTAGACTTCCTACACGTAGAAAGGAATTCATTTTACTGAACCTCTGATCCCACTAGGGATTGCTTTAAAATCCAGTGTTTGAAACCTCCCCAGCTCTAGTTCCCCTTTTATCTGATCTCATGCAATAATAGATGTAGATCAATATAAAATATAATATAAATAGATGTAGGTCAAGTTCCTAAAGGAAGAATCCTATAATATGGATTACCAGCCAGTTCCATTTCAAAAGACTATTTGCAATTTTTGCTAAATCCTCTCCATGAATTGATTTACTATTGAGGGGCCATCCCAAGCATTCTTCTTACCTGATTTCTCTTGTCACATATGTTACCTGGGTGCTGATGTATCTTTAGGAACAAATTTCTGCAAAATTCTCATCTCCTTTTCATCAAAGTTTAGCATAAGGATAGTATTTCCAGTGCACTGAATATCTTTCATATTTAAATCAAATATAAGCTTCCATTCTAACAGTCTTTCCACAACTTTACAATTTGCTAACTTCTTTGTTCACTCCTTAAGAGCATGGAAGTAGCAAGACTGCAGCAGGTTAATTTTCCATAGTGGGTCTTCAACTACATTTGTTCAAACAAAGTTCATTTGTTCACCACCATCTATTGGTAAAAGGGGTAGTCTTGATTTTTCACTTTCTGTAAGTTCACATTTTCCATTACAGGTAGTCCTCATTTAGCAACTACAACTGGGATTGGCAATTCAGTCAGTAAGTGAAGTGGTCACTAAGTGAAACTGCAACTGTGCTTATGATTTTATTTCAGCTTTCCTTTGCTTTACAAACCTGCAAGGTCGTACATGCAAGGATCAGTCGTTAAGTTACTTTGTCTTCACCATCAAACTGCAAATGGTTGCTAAACAAGGCAGTCACTAAATGAGGACTACCGGTAACATTACATTTAAGTTGGTGGATTCTTTTTCATGATGTAGCAGAGCCTAATATGAACCATGAAGTCAAGTGAAGTCAAACATACATAAAGTTCTTCTTTTCTGGAGAAGGCCATTTAATAGACCTGTTTTCACATAAGGTGATATCTGATTTCATTAGGAATTATATTTCTGCTTCAACTTCTGTATTGCTGCTAATGCTTTTGTTCCAAAATTTTCCTTTTGTGTGCCTTGAATAGATAGTGATATATTTTTGTACTCTCATGATTTATATCAGTGAAACTGGCACATCATTAATATACATTTGTCTAGCTGTAGCTGAGAACACCATTGTTTTAAATAGTTCTGTTGTTATGGACACTGTTGTTAACCAAGATTTATCTTTGTTCTTTAAATGGGAATGTTCCATAAAGTGGGATTAGGTTTCCCATTCATCATCTTTTCTTCATTACCAAAAATTTGCTTTCCAGTGTCTGTCCTTGAATGTGCTGTGGGAAGACCCACATACTCTGGCTGTTTATTGTTCTTATTGTTGTTATCTCTTCTGCAAACAGCTGCGTATTTAACTTTAGAGGCATCACAAGAAGACTTTTGCAGGGGCAGAGAATAAGTATGAGGAATTTTGAAGACTCTTAATGCAGCTATATGAAAATTAAATAAGAACAGTATCATATAATTAACAATACAAGATTAAGTATTTAAAGAATTATCTTATGCCTATATTGGCTTGTTATTCCAGTTATTTCTTTAAGGTTGATATGACAGGCTTGGCAGCATAATTACTTGAAAAAATTATAAACCATTTAGAGTTCCACCTTCCATGGTTAATTTCTTCCAGGTTTATCTATAGAACCATTCTGTTGACTTGAGAAGACTTGTAGCATGACATAGTGGGCTCCCAATTTAAATTGATAAGATTTCAAAGAGTATGTGACATATGAATTTCTTCCACTTCTTCCTGGGTAGAAGATAATCTTTCTGTCTTTCTGTCTTTCTTTCTTCACTGTCATCTGCTTAGATAACATGGGGGAACTTCAGCCCTACTCTTCCAATGACCTTCGATATCAAGAAAATTTGAAAGATTTATGAAGTACATCTGTTTTGTTATTGTCAACAACTGTTGAAGAATATACCTAACAGTCTGGACTGTGAGCAGACACTGGTGGCTGTGCAATCTGATATGGTCATTTTCCCTCATGAGTATTTTCCTGATTAGGATATATTGTATGTTCCTTCTTTGGCATAATCCCAACTAACCCGCACTACTGGTCTGCTATCCAGCACAGTCAAAATCAAGCACAGAAAATGTATCAAATGGAAATAGTAAGATCTCATGTGTGTCAATCTTGCTTGTTGGTAGCTTGTTAATTTTTAGTTATTTTTTCTGTCTGGGAGGTCTATTTATTTATTAAATTTGTATGCTGTCCGTCTCCCCCAGCGGGTGACTCTGGGTCTATGCTCTCCTGCACTCATTCTGTTACATTTTTAAATTTTGGATTGATATTTAAATTTTGATCTAATTATGTTAACCATTGCAGATAAACGTTTGCAAAGTTGTCAACATGCATTTCTTGTTATTTGTGAGAACGTGCAGCTACATTTCAACTTGGTAACAAATCTGGGATTAAAAGTAACCCCTCAAAATGTAAAACATTCACTAGTGACTCTTTTAAAAAATAAAGAGAAAAAGGAATTAAAGAAAAACAAGGAGACTTAGTATAGAAACTAATACCCAATTGAGAGTTCTTTATTACCAAAATAAAGAAGGGGAAGACGTTTATCTCCAAACCTGGACATTCAAAAATGCAGCAAAGGGAGCAGAGTAAAATAACTTAGTTGTATGGATGAAAACAGGGTGAAGAGTAGACTAAAATGTAATAGGGAAACAAGTAAATAAAGAAAATAAAAGTGTAATTGAGTGTGTTGCCAGAGTGCACAACATGGAATGGATAGTAAAGTCCAGAGGTTTTCAAAGTGCCAAATATATCATTAGTGTATTAGGAAATTTCATATACTTGTGTGGGTATTGTTCAGTATAATATTTTAAAAGAATGCAAAAAGCCACTGAATGTCTTGTTGTAAGAGAAAGGCCACTGAGCATCCAAATGTTTTCTTCAGGAATGACTATTTCTTCAAGAAGGTTCCTGGATTAACAATGCTGCTTCTTTTTATCTTCAGGAGTTCTTTTACTTGGAGAAGTGATTTGGACCCCAGTACTGTGAATTACTTCCCACTGTAATCAAAAAGGTAAGTGACAACTAATTTGCTCTATTGTTTTGAGCATGACTGAAAATTTGGGCAAGCCTTGATTGAAATTTTCCTCATAGCTTCTAGCAGAGTCCAAGTGAAGCCCCCAAATCCATTTTTGAAAGAAACGGTCTAAAAAATTAAGTTCATTTGTTTACTTGTTACAGTAAACCAATTTAATGTGCTTATTTTGTTTGATGTAATATCATTATAGTAGCTGTGATGAACACATTTCTCAGCCATACCCCACTCATATGTTCAAAAGAAAGGCTGAAATAGCATATGAATGGACATTGGCTTATTCAACTATACCTCTGAACATATATAAAGAATGAAGGCAGGAGCAATGTCCAGAAGACACGGCTGTGTTAATCTTGAAAAAGAAAGGTTTTCTTTTAAAAGGTGAGAAGAATCACAATCACTCCATAGATTTTATATATTACATCTTGTTATTTCTGCAGTTCCTAGAATTCTATACATCATTGAAAGGGACAATTGGACACTATTATAAACATTAATTCTTCCTTCTACCCATGGACAAAAAGAAAAAGCTGTGTTTCTTTGCATCTGTGTATGGGCAGGTTCATATCATCTTCTGACAATCATCTGAAAAATATCAAAAGCAATTTTTGAGTGTGTTCAGAAGACTAATAAAAATAATCCCAAGAATCCTTCCACATCTAAAGAACAAAGTCCAAACTAGCCATGACACAAATAGATAAATGGGTGAGGTCATTCTTAGCCATACTTAAAACAGACTCATAGAACATATGAGTTCATAATTGTATACATACTTAGCTCTTTTAAAGAATTGTACATTTCATTCATTTTCAGATCACTGTGTTTGTACATGACTGATATGTTCCCTTTTGTTCCCTTGTACATGACTGATTGTTTGTACATGACTGATGTGTTCAAAGTGATAACCAGAATGCTCTTTAGAAGTTTTCAGATAAATTATTTTTATGAATGTTAGTAAATGAATTAAGCAGAAAATAAGTCCTGTTCAGATATAAAATGAATGGATGAACAGATAAATATTAAGGGCAAGCAATTTATAGTGAATAAGTAGCTTGACTTACTTGTGACTGTGATGTCTGAAAACATGTCTTGATTTTTTAGTGCTGACCTTATGACATTTTGTTCTAAGTTCAGCTGGTGGATAGCTGTTGAATCCATCTATTTTGACCCAAAAAAATCATAAAAGAAAACATTTAGAACGTTTAGATATCACATACAAATGCTTTCCCATTGAATATTTTGCAACATCTTCCCTTTCAGCATTAACTTTACAAATCTAGAAAACATTTATACCTGAACTGGATCAGCTTTTTAAAAAAAAAATTAGGTGCAATAATTCTTCAAAATCCCAAAAGTGCATTTTGTTATTTTTGAAATAAACTTAGCCTTCCTCTGGAATTCTGTTTAAGTCAATGAATGGGCAAGTGGAAAGCTAAGAATTAAACCCACTTCTTAATTATAATGCATCTATTCCCTGTATCAGCAAAATCTGAGGTGATCCCTCCTCTGTCCGTAGACTTTTTCTCCCATAGGTATTGAACCCTGATTTGGTAGAGTTCCTACTCTAACATTTGAGACATTATACACAGCAACCGTTCATGAACAGAAATGTTCTATATTCCAGTGGAGGACAATCCATGATCAGTTGGTCATATGACTCTCTCCAGATTGTCTTTGCACCATGCAGTGACATTCAAGATGCCAGTTTTGGGAAGTATGGCTTAATGTATGGCCTTTACCTTTTTTAAAAAATCCCAAGCTCCTTTTTACTCCTCCCTCTCTGTATAAAATGAACACATGAAGGAAATGATTTGAAAAAGGATAATGAGATTAATGTGAGGATCACTGTATGTTAAAACAGTAATGAAGAAAAAACATTTATGATTGGGAAGGTCTTACACAGATTAAAAACAAAAACCAGACACATTGCAAACACTTACTCCGAAGAAAATGTAGAAAGGGTTTCAGGAACATAACAGCGTAGTTTAGTTCAGGCTTGTGAATTCTGCCAAGCTGAACCAGGTGCTGCTCCAGGGGATAACTTGCCAGCTCTTCAAGTTCTGTGCTATTGTAAGTCTGTCCCACAGAGACTACCAGCAAGGCATAGCCTTGACACTTGGCTCTCAGAGAGACTTTCTTTAACACTGCTTTATCCCAGTGACTTGTTCCACCCACAGATATCACAATGATGACCTTGTGTTTCCTTGGGTTTGGAGTGTATGAGAAAATGTGGTTAATTGTCCACTGGATGGCATGGCCAACAGCTGCTCCACCATCCAATTGTTGAACAGATTCCTGGATATATTTTTTCATAAACTGTGTTGTACTGAAAGTCACTAAATCAAATTGTTTCTTTACAGGCACCACCTGGTTTTGTGGTCTGAATGCTGGTGCAGCATGGCTCACCATAGCCACCCTGTCACCTACAGAAGAAGTTGCAGGCTGAGAGGAAATCTCAAAATGGTCCAGAGCTCTGCTTAGAAATTCCTTCAGTTTCTTAAACTCATCAGGATTTATTTTTCTTGAGCTGTCCAAAACGAAAGCAGCATCCACATATTCCCATGGTGACCTGGTTCTTCTGGTACGTCCACAGACAGCATCTGGTTTGCATTTATCTGGAAAAGGACATAAATTTAGGTTTCTCTTTACAAAGGACAAGATAATGCTCAAGGGATTGGTTTTATTACATAATCAGGGATAATAGTTTCAACAGAATCAAATTGTTCTCAATCAAATGATTTGCACACACTTCCAGAATTGTGGTTGTTCTATTTTTACAGCATAGTATGGTCTTTTGACAAAGGAACTGGTAGAAGAGATTTTATGAGCCTTTTTTTCTATTTTTTATTCAATTGAAGATTGACAGGAGGAATATTCTCCAGTTCTGCTGGCAGAAGAACTACATGGAGAATCAGTGTGGTTACTTGTTAAGATATTGGACTGGAACTGTGGAGACCAGATTTAAGAACTCCCATGGAGCTCACTTTGTGAGTCTCCCATGTATACTGCTTTGAAAAGGCAGGATACATATATAAAAATAAATAGAGTATATAATTTGGGACAAAAAATATCCCTCATTTAGGTACATTTAATTAGTTTTAAAAAATAAAACAACTAGAAGATATATTCCAGTAAAGCTCCTCAGAAACCTAAAGATTTCTGCTAAACTTTCTCAGACTTCTGGTTCAATATAAAAGAATACAGTCATCTCCTTTAAATACATATATAAGATTATTATTCTTCATACCATAACAAAGTGTGCACAGTTGGAATCTTTTCAAAAATGGTGAGTAATCTCCCCTGGTGGGAATGGCGATCACTTGAGCTTGTCCAGAATCATCCATCTATAAATTTAAAAAAGTTAAATCTGCTAGATAATTCATTATTTATTTGTTAAAATTATATTCCACCTTTGCTTCAGGAGCTCCAGGTAGTTTATGTTGCACTCCCTTCTCCTCTTAGTATCTTAGTATAAATTAGACATAAGATTTAAAGGGTTTGCTCCTATTCTCTGGCATACTTGAGAATACATGTATATAATTTCAGCAATTAAAGAATGTTTAGATAAATGTAATACCTCAATCTGAATCTTTAGATGTTGTCTTGATATGAGAATTTTATCCAAAAAAAACATACTGTGGTCTTTCAGAGGACCACAAGGTTAAGAAAGAGGAGGCAAAGTTGCTATTTTGGGGGTGGAACTGGGGGTGGAACTGGGCTTATTCCACCAGGAGAATGAGGATCTGCTCCAACTACAGAATGATGGCATGCAAGTAGAGGAACCTGCTATGTTGATGTACCTTTGTAGGTGTCATAATAATTAATACTAAATCAGACTGCCTTCTGTTCCTACCATCCTGTATGCAGGCTATAAAGTGATTTTGCAGAGACATATAAGCAGAGATGTTAGCATGGTGCTAACTACAGAACCATGCTCAGATGGCCTGCAGCCGTTCTGGGTGCCTATGCTTCAATGAAAGTCCAGAAACAGATGTCCAATAGGTTGGTGGTACTTTTTGTTTTTTCTTTTTTTAACAAGAAGATAGACAGGCTGGGAGGATGCATCATGCTGGAGAGCTATGCACTGGAAAGGACCAAAAAGAATAGTAAGCACAGACAAGAACATGGACAAGAAATTCTTACTCATTTGGAGAATAAAGCAGAAATACAGAAGATATTTAGCAAGAGGGAAAATGGTCTGACTGCAGGTGAATGGAGAACAGCTATGGGATAGCAGTAACATGACCCATAAAAACAAATATGACCATGATTTTAATATTATATATTCTGCAACATGTTTCATTGGGACTAGCTCACAGATATAATGCTCTTTCACGCATTTTTTTAGTCATACGTGATCTTTGTGTTCTCCATATGATTCTAAACTAAAGTTCATAGAATAAACAAATTTTAACTTCTCATAATTTATTTCATATCTTTATACCTGTTAGAAAACATCCACATGTAAAGTTATAGTTGTCAGCAAGGCAGAACACCCATAATTATTGAATGCAAAAGAAGTAAAAGGTCATAATTTTAACCTCACCAGAAAAGCACGATTGACCTCCGTTATGTTATTAAAAGCTAAGATGACTGGAACAATCTCTAATGCACTGTATTCAAGGAGTTCTGCGTTGACAGAACTTGGATGGCCAGATTCTTCATTGCTGAAGAAGACAGCAACTTTCCTCACATTAGCACCTTGGAGAGTCCGCTTGAAGAGATGCCTGGCAACAAACTTCATGGAGCCACCGATGTCCCGTCTGTTGGTGGTTCTCTGGAAAGAAAGTCTCCTGAGCTCCTGCAGCAACTTGTTCTTGCTCTGGAAATCTGTAAAGCGGATCAGGTAGTTGGTGTTGGAGCTGTAGGACACAACAGCCACTCTAGCCCCCACAGGACAATTGCTCTCTCTGATGTTGGTTTGGTTCACAGTCTCCGTGACAATCTTTTTCATTTGTTCAAACATCTGCAGTGTGGTATCCTGGGATATATCCAAAGCAAATACTAGTTCTGTAGGATATGCTGGACACTCTGTTGTTCCTAGACAATACAGCAGATTGCATATTAAACCAGTCATGAATTTTCAAAAAAAGCTGACTTCAAAAGATAGCTCATTTAAGCTGCAGGGGTCCCCATCCTATTTTCTTTACAGCATGCCATCCACGCTCCCCCAAACAAAGCTAGATGGCATTTCTCTTGCAAACCTCTCACAGTGCTATGCCACCTGATAAGCTGGTTAGGTGTACAATCCTGTGGCAGCTGCCACAGGCAGGAAGCTGTTGTGATCCTCTCCACTCACACAGTGAGATGAAGCACTCAATCATCTTATTAGATATGTGTGTGCATTTGAATGGAGAATGAAACACTTACCTTGGTAGCAAGCTAAACAAAAGAAAGAAATAATGTGGTATTATTACTTAGCAAATGGCCAGTTATTTCTCCTAAATGTATTACTAAACTTAATTTTTTGTCTCTTATTTTACAGCCGCACTTAGATTTCAACGGTCTGAGTGCTGTTTTTAAATGCACAGATCATTCATACTTATGTAAAGCAAGAATCTCTTTGATTTGAATGAATCTATTGATGACTGCCATTTTCCTCTTCCTGATGAAGTCTTATTAAAAAGTGTTAAGACTACACAGTAGTTCTAATACTTCCCACCCGGACAAGGGTTTTGGAAGCTTAATCTCAACATTGTTGGTGGCTGTTAAATAAAAAATCATTCCCAGAAATCATTCCTAAAAAGCTAACACTAGGGATGAGTGATTCTGTTCTTTTTCCTTTTTATCACATTATGCATGTTGCCGGCCATGAGCACTATTCAAATTATTCCTCTGTTATTCAATGTATTTGGCTTTATTTTTCATTGTATTGTTCCTAATGTGCCTATTTTTAGGTTGTGCAGCAATTTTCCCATTATGGGTGCAGGGTGGTGGTGGGTGGGTGGGGGTTGCTTTGTGTTTTATTAGATAAACAACACAAGACAATTTTAAAAAATAGAATGAAAAATAAGCCAAAAGTGGAGGATAAGGGTGAATAAAAAAGGTGATATGATCTTAAGGAGAAATCTGAGCATTTTAAAATATCTATGTTTAATATTTACCTACAGAAATGTTGTGCAAATATGATCTATTAGAAAAATATAGTTAATATAGTTAATGGAGACTCAATACGAATAAATGTATTATCTGGCAAGAGAGACAGTTTGGTATAGTGGTTAAGGCAATCACTTATAGACTATGAGTTCTAGTCCTGCCTTAGGCACAAAGCCAGCTGGGTGACCTTGGGCCAATCACACTCTGGATTAATTTTGAACATGTAGGGATAGGTCAGACCATAAATAATATTAAAATTTTGACAACCTTCAAATTAGCGTGGGACAGATTGGTATCCAGCTGAGCTCCTATGATTACAATGACAAAAGTCACAAAGGGAAGGGATACGGTGGCTCCAAGGCAAACGTGGCCAGAGTAGAATTCCAAAGGCCAAATTCCCAAAAATAGACATGGCCAGGACAAAGAAATAAGTGGCAAGGGACTAAGTCTGATTAATTTAATTTTAAATCTAATTACATTTATATCTGATTACTTAAATACATTTAATAGAGTTATTTCACATACATTTACTAATTTTCCCCTTCTTTTCCAATTATAATTTGGCAGCAACTTTAGGAGGAGATATGGAGTTCTCACTCAGTGCTTTATTTGGACTCATTTGCGATAGTGCATTCCTAATGCAGGGTGAAGAGAACCAAGTTATCCATGTGGTCCAGTAAAACTCCACTAGAAGAATGCCTCAGTGTCTCTGGTACTGACTTTGAAACAAATCATATATGAGTGAATGGAAGCAGTCTTATCCATTGGCAGAATTGTCCTAGTAAGCTACCAAAGATTTAGCTCTTCCAAAGACATTGACAGAATATTCATATTTTGCTTCCATATTTTGTGTAGGAACATTTAACCATACAGAGAAGAGATTGTATAGAAGCAACAGTAGCAGAAAAAGGGGTGGGTGGGTTTGTGTGGGGGGGGAGGGTCTTTTTGCGCCTACTGCCACCATAATAGAATAATCCACAGGACCATAAACCTCTGTGGTCAGACTATCTTAGTAGGCCCTTTGAGTGTGAATGTCTGCAGGAATGAGGCACACTGCTTCTATATAAGGGTAATCACTCATATGGAACCCAACTGTGCTTATCTGAATGGAAAGCACTCCAGATATTTGAATGTCTGAACAAGGCAATTATTATGCTACCAATTAATACTTACAGCTGTGCTCTCGAATATAAGCAATGAGCTCACATGGCTGTAGAATGAAAAAAGGGGAAATTAGAAACCATGGGTGATCTCAAAAACGTTTCTGTAGATACTTTTTAATATATAAGGTAGATACAGTAAATGCTTACCGAAAAGGAAGCCATGCCTTTTGCTCCTTTGTAACCCTGAAGGGAGAGAGGGAGGAAGAATATATTTGGATAAAATGTTAAGAAATGCCTTTCCATGCATAAGAACAGTGGATAATGAAGCTGAAAAGGGGACCATGATGGGAGACAATTATAGCAAAATGTTGTCATTCAGTCTGGCCATTTGTTACTGTTTTTATATCCTAGAATTATGAAATGATCCATTTAGGAACTATAAACACAACATTCTTCAAAGCCAAGCAATTATGTTAAACTAGCACGTAACGAACATGCCCCCAGCTATTCTGGCATTCGCAAGTGCTGTATGAATATCTAAGGTTAATAACTGCAAGATCCAAAAACATCTAGGATTCATGCAAATTATTGCCATTGGCCACCCTACTACTCATAATGAACATGTTCATAAGCACCAATCATAACACTCCCAAATGTCCTAAGCAGGAACTAAGACAACCAGGTGCAGTCAATGTAAAGTTATTTATAACAGTTCTTGCCCACCTGTAGTGAGGCCTTGATATGCTTTTAACTCATGGTTAATATTTTGAGTTTAATTTCCTGATTTTGAGGGGAGAGTGAACTGCCAGTAGAATTCAATAGTTAATGGTCCATGATGTCAAATAAATCAATAAGTCTATCTCCTTAACCTATCTCAGCTTCTTTAGTGTGGCGTCCTCCTCTTATATTGGACTTCAGCTCCTATCACCCAAAGCCAACATGCTGAATTACTCCTTTCCTTCTGATAACAGAAATCCCATTACAACTTCAAAGCATAATAAAAAAGAATTGGTACATGCAGGGAGAAAAAACTTTCATTAAGACCACCACTCTCCCATTATCTTGTGTAAGATCACAAGATAAGGGCTACCATCAAGTAAATGTTTTTGACTTAAATTATAAACTATAACCTAAAACATAAAGAAGCAAAATTAATTCTAAGACAGGAGCAAGTGATCTTTGAAAGTGCAGATTAATAACAACAACAACAACAACAACAACAACAACTAACAATGATCATAGGAAACAATTGGGGTTACATCAAGTAAGAGGATGGGCCTGGGAATTTTTTTTTTATTCTTGTGGTTTGTTTTATTTTTATTTTGCAGGGAAGTTAGAATTTGTGTTAATATATTAAATTTTAAAAACCTATTCAAAGGCATAAAGAACCATTATTCCTCACCTCAGACTTTGGGGAAATTGCTTCATTGGTTTTCAACAGAAAACTGCAGAATAGAGGCAGCATGACCGAAGAAACCGAGCAGCCCAGAGAAAATAGCTCTAGTAATACATACCATCAGGGCATTCTCCATCCCAGGCCTGAGAGATAGTCCATGTACATGAGCACAGACAATCAGAAAGGAATGCATGCCTTAGCAATGGTGACGTGGAAAGAGGAAACTTACTAAGGTCACTTAGTTTACAAGTTATTATTGCATCATGCTCAAAGCCACGATGCAAATTGCCATGCAAATACGATTGCCTGCAGAAAACGGTATAAATCTGCACACCCGCTGTCCTGGAGGACCATGGTCTCCTGATGCTCCTTTTTGGCCAGTGGCACCTGCAGGACCCTAAAAACAATGACATTGGAGAATCTACCTTTTAAAAATCTTGCAACCACATATTCCAGAATTACTGAACAAGTGAGTGATGCTAACAAAAGCCAGTAAGCGATCTGAAATGTTAAGTTAAAGATACTATATAACACCCAGAAGTTATTTTAATTCTGATTCTTTATGGCTATCATTTAAAGAGATATACAATTAATTCCATGTATCCAGAGGAATTTGGATTTGTCTCTAATATTTACCCAGTCCTTTCCATTTGGTAAGCCCCTTTTGCAATCAAGGGGCATCTTAAAAAGTAGTTTTCAAAATGAGATGGGAGTCAATCGTTCAAATAAAAGTTCCACGAAGCACATGGAAGCCCTTGATTGGGTCTAAAACAAACCTTTTATTTTTTATTTATTTTTTGCTTGTTTAACAGCTTTATACATCATGCTGCAATAGACCTTCCTTTAAAAGTATTTTATATAGGTATAGTTGGAATTTATTATCAGTCATAGCATCTTCTTGACTACGAATTACTCTTGAAGAATTGAGACAATAAAAATGTTATTAGCAATATTAATCACTTGCCCTTTGCCCACGGATCCCTTTTGGCCCAAATTCTCCTGGAATTCCAGTGTTGCCAACATCACCCTAAATTTAAAAAGTTGTTTAACAAAAAAAATAAATTTGAGAATGAAATTATTATTATAAGCTTCTGATTGTTACAAGATTTGTAAAAAGTACCTTAATGGAGCAATCCTATTTGCATTTATCTGGAAACACGCCTGGTTAAACTCAGTGAAACATATTTCTAAGTAGATATGGACTACATCAATTTTAAAAAATGCCAAATACTAATTAAAACATTAAATCCAAAACTAGCACAAAACTCATGGAACTACCAAAATCAAATTGTCCTAGTGTGACTGTACTACCAGCACCCCCAAAAACCCCAATGCTGCTTTGCTCAGGTATGGTGAAAAATGTCCCCTCTAACATGAAGATTCACCAACCGGTTGAGCTGGAGGTTGTTTGGTCTGGCACCTGGTAAGAAGGAGACTTTTGCTTTTAGTTGTGTTTTTATGGATTGTTGTGAGCTGCCTAGAATCATTATATGAGATAGGTGACTATATAAGTCCTGCAAATAAATAAATAAATAAATATGCATTAAAAATACAGATCAGGGCTAGGTGAGACCTGGAAGAAAAACTACATCCAGTGACTGATGAGCTGACGGTACTGATCATAGATTTGTATAAGATGAATCTGACACATAGCCACACCTAGGCTGAATCACTGAATTACTTTGTTAAGATATTTGTACTTCCTAACAAGCTGTTGGCTAAACAGCTTCTCTTTCACCACAAAAAGACTATTCATTACTGTCCAATTTTATTTGTACTCTTGTACTATGCAATACACAATATAATCAGAACAGTCCCTTTTATTTTCATTTTTGGAATATCCATTACCTTCTGCCCTACACCTCCAGGAAATCCTCTTTGCCCCTGTAATACACAAATGGAAGAACAAATGTTATCCTTGAATAAGGGATGCAACGAAGATAAAAAAGCAAACATCACAATGGAAAAATGCTTATCCAAGCTCAGTTCATCCAAAAGTCCCTTCACTTGAGCGTATATATTTTTCCTCTACTCTGCCAGACAAGCCTGTTGTCTGTCTTCTGTTCAAGGTTTCATTCAATATGAAACATCAGTTTTGTAAGAGGGAAGGAAAAAAGAAGAAGAAAAAGGGCCGACTTTCTCTTTTACACACTGCTAATTCTGAGATGGATCTGAGGAATATGTTACGGTCTTCTAGCATAATACAATTGGTTATGGAATTTTTCCTTAAAATACTGTAAATGAGTAAATAAATAGCCATCTCGTTCTCTCTTGCTGTTCTCCTCTCTCTCACCTGCTTTGAATGTTCTGTAGGATCTAATTCTGAAAGTCTGTAGGTCCTTATCTAGCTTTAAACTTTATCTTTCAATTATTTTAATGTTACGTTGTTTTTTAACTTAAACAATTTAGTTCCATCATTTATTGCTTTAAAAAATTGCCAAAAATCCTGACATAATTTCCCAGTATTCTGAGACAAAAAAACACCCCAAAATGGATTTTGGGTCCTAAAATAAGTATAACATTGTTTGAAAACTACAACATTTTCCCTCCCCAAACCAAAGAACAGACCTAAAAATATCACCACATCTGTGTATATAAATCCAGTTCTGCCCAGATTGCATTATTCGCTCTGGCTCTCAGCACCTCCTCAAAACCCTGCATTTGGTTTCTAGCCATCCAAACATTTTTCACTATGCTGGAATGCTTGACAATTAAGCATGTAAACATACAGAAACTACTATACAGTTTCTTGTCCAGTTTGCCAAAGTGAATAGCTAATAAACTATCATAACTAGTCCATAAAAATAGATTATATGTTGTCCTTATCTCTAAAATAAGGCATGTTTTATTTATATTCAGTCCAATGATAATTGGAACTCTGATTTCCATTTAAGAGCCGTTACTGTACTTACCTTTATTCCTTTATTTCCTGGCTTACCATATCCAATTGCACCATTATCCCCCTAAAATAAAATTGTAACTTTTATTATTTAGGGCTTTTGTGCTCACAATACATTAATAAAAGGCGAGTTTGACTAACTTAACTACATCAAGTTTTCCCGTTGCATTTGGACATCACAAGATTGGGAAAGGTTCTCCAACATGAATGGGAAGAGAAATTCTCCTGCATGTTTTTCCTACCAGTTCTCATTCTTTGCAGATTCTTTTAAAGAAAAGTATTGAAATTCTGATGGATAATGAGTGGTATTATTGCACTTATTTTGTTATCAAGAGGCAATGGGTGTGTGTGAATATCCCACCTTTCACTGTATAGTCACCCTCCAGCAGCCTGCAGGCTCTTGGGTTTCCCACTCTTCAATTACCTTGCAAGTAAAGGTAATATGAGGGAATTTCCTCCCATGGAACCAGGGTCATCCCTGTGCAGGGTATCTGTTGATACATGCCATCTTGACTTTTCACACACACACCAATTGTACTACACAGGACAATGTTGCCGCTGTCACCACTATGGAGGGAATTCTATACTTGAGAAATTGTTGAAGAATTTCTCCTTCTTCTGGAGAAATTTGGAGAAGCCACTTCATTTCTCTGTCCATAAATTTGGTGGAGAATTTCAAAAGATCATTTGTGCCCAGATCCAATCTTAGCTCAAGCCAATCTTGCTTTTTACTGAGAATTATGAAAACAGCAGATCAGCAAGAATATAAACATATTAACAGGATAGATGTAAATAGATTAATACAAACCCTTGGCCCCCGTAGTCCAGGTAATCCTCTCTCCCCCTTTGTTCCAGGATCACCAAACTCCCCCTATTAAAGGAAATAAAACAGGTATACTTAAGTTGAATCTAATTTCAATGTCATGTTATACTGTGAAAGTAGCAGCCCATTCAGTTGTAGCTGTACACTAAAATCCAAAGCTACCCAGAAAAAGTTCACATGAGTTACATAAGAAATAAGATCTCTAGAGCAACCTACTTCCTGCTTGTAAAAAGAAGAAAGGTGTTTTTTTTCTCCACAACTGGTCAAACATGATAGCATTTGCTCAGATGTGGGAAAATGTTTATTTATCTATGCCATGCAAGAATGGCAAAAAAACTTTTTAACAATTCAATTTTCTATTTTGTGGATCCATATTTCTTAGGAGTATATTGGATATTAGATAAAGATTACATTAGCAATGAGTTTTGAATGACTTGTTTTAACACTGAATGAATGAGGATGGAGGATGGCGAGAACAAATATACATGTTTTTACAACATCCCACTGGTTTCTATCAACCACATCTTTTGGGGGAAGAACTTTTGCTTTTGGGTGGCATTCATGGAAGCAGACTTCAAATAATAAGTGAAGCTAGGACAAAGAAATGGGTAAAGTTAAGGCCAAAGCTAAATCTAACTTAAATTTAATGGTTTCAGTACTTAACCAACCTTGGCAGATCTTAGATGTTAAACAGGGTCAGCCATGAGTAGTACTTGGATGGGGGACCACCTAGGAACTGCAGACCTGGGAATTTTAAACATTCTTGGAAGAAGGCAATGGCAACAAACTTCCATACTGTTGTCCAAGAAAGCTGCATTTAATATTATTATTTTCCATATACTGTATACGATAATATTTTCCTTCTGTCACATTAAACTGTACAGTTTGAGAACAATCTCTACAGGGACTCCCTGCATTGTTTCCAAGTGATTGGAAGGCAATGATGTTATATTTTGCAACATTCTTCTGTTGATGATCTACTTTTTAGATGGAAGACCATTTCAGAGTAAATGAGAATATGTGCCAAAAATTATATTGAGAGGGAATATAGAGGTACCCTATTGCTTCTAAGGACAAGTAAGACAAGATACCTTATTCCCTCTGAGTCCCAATTTCCCAGGAATGCCTACTGGACCTGTTCTTCCTGGAATACCCTAAAATGAAACAAGGAGATAAAACCCATCTGGAATTGATTAGGTAAGACAGTGTTTTATATAAAATTCTTCTAAAATGTGCTGTCATTATATGTATTATAAGCTTAAAACCATTCAATGGAGTCTTTAATGAAACTGTTCCTCCATGCTGGGGCAAGGTTCAATTGTCAAATAGGGGCTGTTCTGCTCTGCAGAAAAAGTCTCCCTCATTTTTTTCCTCCCCGTTCCCATTCCACTTGAAGAAAGAGACTTTGCTTTGAAAAGTTCTTTTCAAGGGGATGATAATTTCACTGAAATTATCCTGGATGGAGAGAAGTGCTTGGTTCTGAGTGACCAAGACCTGGGTATAGGGAGAGGGGAATGTCCTATGTGCAAATACCCTCCTGGCTTCATGACAGTCCTAAGGGAAGACCTCATCAGAAAACTCCTTTCAGAAGGGTTTTTCAGATTGCAAAGGGTGGACAGGTAGCAAGTCTTCAAAGTGATGGGAGAATGAATAATAGAAAACCATAACACCATCACTAGCACCCTCTCCCATTTCCAATAAATAAATAAGCTCAAAAGCACCACCAAGTGAAATTCAAATGAGATTCACAAGCTCTCCCAAAATAGGATAAAAAACCAAAAACTTCTGCGCTGGTAGAACTTCTGAGAAATTATACAGCATTACCTGAAGCTGATAAAAACAAAAAGGCATGTGAGAGGACAACCCACTTCACTGAGAAACAATCTTAAAAAATTCTATTGTACTGGGACATACTGGAAAACCTTCCCTTCCTTGATTTCCTTTCATTCCTTTCACTCCACGAATTCCTTTTTCACCCTAGAAACATATTTTTTAAAAAAACAGTATTGAGTTCAAACAGTACACACAAAAGATACAGGCTTACTTCTTATTTCTACTTATCCATTAAAACAATTTGGAAACTAAGCATGAGTTTCTTGGAAATCTGTTATCATTATCGTTTTGATTATTACTGATAAAAACAATGACTGAAAATGAGTCAGTGGGATCATTATAAAGAAATGTTGACTCAACTAAGTGGGGATATTCTGTTTCAGCCTGCTTATTTATCTTTCATTTCTTTATCTGAAATATACTCCATCCAAATAGATTTTATGACTGTGTTAGTCGATTGTTCTTTCCAAATAGTATCCTTAAAAGTTCATATTAGACTCAGGCGTATCTCAAGAAAGCTAAACAGAACTTCTGCAAAACCACCAGAAAATTCCAGGGCTATAGGTTGGACTGGGAAGATGAAAAAAGCATAACCAAAGTACCTAATGACAAACTATTGCCATCCTGTTGCTAAGAAAACTACATGGACATAGTCAAGAAGATCTAACCTCAACTTAAGGTCAGCTACAATCAATCAATCATCAATCTTCGAGTGATGCAATGGTGAAAAATTCAGTCAACAAGCTGTATTTTTCCCTAGGACACATATTCTGTTGATTTGAAGGGAAGTGGATTTAGGGAGCTTGAAGAAATCCAGCATCTTTCCAAAGCATTCTTTACTTTGGAAAAAGAAACAATCCATGAAGGTAGATGGCAAAGACTTACCTCTAAAGCAGCATTCCATAACATAGGCACCCTGTTTCCCCCACTCTTACTATACATACTGCCTGTTTTCCAGACTATCTGCACAGGTTACAGCGGTTCAGCAAATGAAGATAATGCCTTGATCAACATCCAAGTCAAGAGGGAACTAATGTTCAACAGATATGGGATGCCAAGGTAGTACAATGGTTAAAGTGCTGGATTAAGACTGTGAAGCTTCAAGTCTACTGTTGGCTGCAGAAAAGCTATTGGGTGATTTGGCTCAGTCTCTCTCTCTCAGCAAACCTACCTCAGAGTTGTTGGGGTTAAAATGAGGGGGACCCCTTACTATGCTTTGCTCTCTAAGAGAAATATCAAGCTACAAATACATGAAAATAACCAATAAAAGGTTGGGATTAATGGACAGGCAACTAGAAAAGAGCCAAGGAAGACTATTTGTATATACTATCACTGCTGCAAAACTGTATATGCACAAAAAGGGAAGACCCATAATGGAGGAATGGTTGGTGAAGATGATGGAACTAGCAGAGATGGCAAAATTAACTTGTTTGCTTAGAGAAAGATTAACTATTACATTTACAGTATTAGTGACTGGAAACCTCTTATGAACTTTTTGCTGAAAAAAGAAAAAAATGAATTTGTGATTTATGAGTCTGAAGATTAGAAGGTATAGCTTATGGAAGAAGGAAATTATGATGTAACCTTAGAGAGAGGGTAAAATATAAATGCATAACCGCTGTGAAAAAAATCAGAAGATGCTTCTTTATA